ATGCGAACAGCTCCGGACTGCTATCAGCTGTGCTGTCAGATTGTGGAGACAGAGAGACAAGAACTCGCTGCTCAGCTCTCAAAGAAAGAGAAAAACTGAAACAGAGGGAGAGAGAGGAATCCCTAATTCGAAGAGACGGGCTGTGTTTCCGTGGCAACTGCGTTTGCACAGTGAGGGAGTCTGCTCACAGTTGCTACACAGTGATACCGGATGCTCTGCTGGTGTGTGCTGCTACACTGTGCGTGTACCAGGAACAGTGGAGTACACTGTGTGGACTTCACTGTGTGTGTTTCTGACTGTGAGTGCAGTAGTACATATGTATTAGTACGTGAAAAATATAGTCTGTATATTACACTGTGTGTAAATTACTTTGTGTAAAGTATACTACTTGTATATTTTTATGGGTGTAATGTACAATGCGTAATTATCACTAGGTGTGTACATTATAATTGTACATCATAGTGTGTGTAAATTACAATGTGTATACTTTGTGAGTATAATACAGTGTGTATAACATAGTGTGTATAATACAGTGTGTATATTAGTGTGTATTGATTACAGCATGTGTATAATAGTGTATTTATTACAGTGTGTGTGTGTTTATTACAGTGTGTGTATAATACAGTGTGTTTATTACAGTGTGTGTTTATTACAGTGTGTGTGTGTTTATTACAGTGTGTGTATAATACAGTGTGTTTATTACAGTGTGTGTTTATTACAGTGTGTGTGTGTTTATTACAGTGTGTGTATAATACAGTGTTTATTACAGTGTGTGTATAATACAGTGTATTTATTACAGTGTGTGTGTATAATACAGTGTGTTTATTACAGTGTGTATTTATTACAGTGTGTATTTATTACAGTGTGTGTTTATTACAGTGTGTGTATAATACAGTGTGTGTTTATTACAGTGTGTGTGTGTTGCAGCAAGTGGAAAGCTGTGAGTGTTGCGTGCTCGAGCTGTAGATTCTGCTCTAATTAACGAGCTCACTTTGCGATTCTAATCTGCAGTGCGTTTTCACTGGTTTAATAGCAGGATCTATCTGCTCACCTAGCAGCGTCCTCAGGGCTCTGACAAGGTGCTGCCTCCGGAGAGGGGGGTGAGAGCACAGGCGCAGTGTCTGGGGACAGAGCCCTGCTGCTGGACAGGTGGGGTCCTGCTGACAGCGAGCGGAGCTGAGCACAGCTGCACGACACCTGACCCTCCCTCTCACAGCTCGCCCCTGCACGAGCGATCAAGGAACACCCTGACACCAGGGTCAGCACCCCCACTCTCACTGACAGCGTCAGTGACCATGTTGTCCATTCTGGGACGATGGAACAGCGCCACCTGCTGGTCAAACACCAGCACTTACAGCAACCTGCTGGTTTTCCTGGGAGGCTGACCAGGGCTGACCAGGGCTGACCAGGCCCGGCCTGCTGAGCCCTGAGCTCTGGGGAGATCAGGCTGCGGGTGCTGAGGGCAGAGCACAGACCCGCCCTGCGCTGTGAAGATCACGCGTGGGCGTGCTGAGTGACTGCAGGCCAGCTGGCCGGCTCTGGGACCAGGCTGGGGGCGTGGCGGGAGCGTGTGGCCGGCGTGTCCACTCCTCTCGAGCCCCAGAGCGGCGACAGGACAGGAATAGACTCCTGTGGGGAGCGGAAAATGGGCCACAGAATCGAGGGCTCTCTCTCCCCGCCTGTCTCCTTCCCCCGTCCCTCGCTCTCGCTGGGGGAGCACGGCGAGACTGCCACAACTTGAGAAACCAGGACACGGCAGACAGCAGCAGGCCCCGGTTCCTATCCCCGGTTCAAACCCGCGTCTCCACTGCATGGAGCCCAGAGGCGCAGAAGCAGGCTGCAGTCTTGCGCTGATCCCTTATGAAAAGTGGCTGAGGACAGACGCCTCTCTCCCCATCTCCCTGCGTCTGCCTCTCTCTCCCTTCATTCCTCCCCTCTCCCATTGTTCAGCAGAGCTGTACACAATTACAGCTTGAGCAGGCAGTCATTAGGACTGCAATTAGTACCTGACAGTAGCCAGAAAACGCACAAACTGTACTGATGAATCAGAAAAGCAAATATGCTTAATATTGTTTAAATTCCAAATCTGCTCAAAATGACAAGCTTGAAATCTCCAACACCTGGTGCTGTCTTCTGTACAAGAGCCGGCAGCTGGGAGCAAAACCTGGACTGGATCACACTGCTGTGTACTGGGAGTCAGTACTAGAACTAGTTAGAACTAGTTTCTCTCCTTCTTCTTTTAAAAAGACAGAGTTTACCGAATATCTTCATTTTCAATGCCCCCAGCCATCATTTAGGGTCATCAATCACAGCACCTGATGGCAACATCCTGCAGAAAAAGAGGAACTGTGACTGCCCGTGTCTCGTTCACTCTGGGGGCTCAGGGAGAGGGAGGGGCGCAGAGGGAGAAGTGATGCTGACAGCACCTCTGACCAGTAAACAGAACCAGCAACGCAGCTGTACTGTACTGACCTGAATCAGCATCTGTATGAACCCCTCTCTCTCTCAGTGCAGTGTT